GTGATGATGATGACGATGATGATGATGATGATGATGGCGTCGATTGTGAGATCGATTGGGAGTTCGATTGTGATATCGATAGTGAGATCGACTGTGAGATCGATAATGAGATCGATTGTGAGATCGATAGTGAGACCGAACGTGAAACCGAATGTGAGATCGATAGTGAGATCGATTATGAGATCGATAGTGAGATCGATAGTGAGACCGAATGTGAGACCGAATGGGAGATCGACTGTGAAATCGATTGTGAGATCGATTGTGAGATCGGCGGTGAGACCGACTGTGAGACCGAATGTGAGATCGATTGTGAGATCGATTGTGAGATCGATAGTGAGATTGATAGCGAGATCGATAGTGATATCGATAATGAGATCGAATGTGAGATCGATAGCGAGATCGATTGAGTGAGACGTTGGTTCCCCCTCCCCCCTCACCTCCTTATCACCCGCAGGGTGGTCGTATAGGTATATCGTCGACTGGCTGAAAAAAACGCACCGATCAAGAGGCAAGCCAGATGCAGCTGGGCTTGGCTGGTGCTTCAAAGATAGGATCTTAGGGATGAGGACCTAAGGATGGAAAGGGATCCAATGGTGGGTTTGCGCTGCTCGAGGCGCCTCGTCCTTGGAACCCCATGCTTCAGGACCCCATCTTTGAACCATCGACTTGGCGGCCCCGCGCAAGGCTGCGGGCGGCCCCCGCGAACCCGCACGCCTCGCACGCCCGCGGCGGCAGTGCTGTCAAGTTGAAGGGGTCGGAAACCCTCCGGTTCTCAAAATGTATCGCCGACAGGCGAGAAAGAAATGACGATTGAATGGCAAACCAGATGCAGCTTGTCGCTGCAGGAGATGCGTTGATTGATTGGTGTGGTGACCAGGTAGGCTCGAGGATCGCTTGAGTAGGAACGAGGGTAAGAGAGCGCGTTCCTTTGCAGGACCACCAAAAAAGAGACGTCAAGGTGGTCAAACGCCTCGCCGGTTAAGCCGACGAGGACGTGCAAAATCCAACCAGTCGCTTAAGTCCAAAGTTTTGGCTTGACGCTGGGTCTGGTGCATCAGTTTCAGTTTGACCGAACAGGTTGGCTGCGTCCCTTGACGTCCGTTTGACGTGCTCTGCAGACCTGACCCCCCAGCCCTGCTCAAAGGATGGCGCGCCGCGGCCGCGAATGCCCATGGCGGCGCGCTTCCCTGGCAGTGCTGATAATTTGAAGGGGTCGGAAGTCGACCAGTTCTTAAAAACTGATCGTCGACAGGCTACAAGAACACACCGATCAAGTGGCAGACCAGATTCACCAGATACAGCTTGTCGCTGCTGGAGATGCGTTGATTGACTGGGCGCGGGTATACCATTCCTCGAGGGCTAGCAGGCGGCCCCCACGAGCCCACGCGCCTCGCACGCCCGCGGCGGCCGCGGCCGCCGCCACGGCCACGAGCCGATTGCGCCCTCCGCCGCGGCTGAGGCTCGAGAGAAGAAAGTTGTTTGGTCAGCGGCGATGGCGAGCGCTAGCGCGGCTAAGCTGCAGGCGGGCCGCGCTGGGCAGGTAGGCAGGTGGAGATCAAGAGTGCGGCCGCGGAGGGGAACGCGAAAGGAGGCCTCAGGCGTGGAGAGTCTTCGCCACGAAGCGCCGGCCAGTGCAAGCCGAGAGAAGAAGCACGATAACCATGACCAAGACGTCGCTGGATCTTCTCGACGCCGATATTGGTCTTGGTCCTTGCCGGCCGTCGCCTCTTCGCGACGTTGACCCTCAAATTGGCGGTGGCCCGGCCAGGATCGGCACCGACGCTTCCGCGTGCAGTCTTCGTCGTGGTCCTCGTTGCCTTTTCCTGCAGGAGCGTGGCGCACAACCGCGACTGCAGCGCAGGCTGGCCCCGCGCGCCCTGTGTCCCATCCTCAATCCAGCTTCGGTTCTGGTTGTGACGTTGACTGCGGCTGCGCCCGAGGCTGGCAGAGGAAGGCTTCGGCTGCACGCCTCCCCTTGCTTCTTCCCCCTTGTCCACTCTCAATCGCCATCCCTCTTCCCTGCTACGTAGTCTCTCCCCGCTCCTCGCTCCTCTTCCCCAATGCATCCGTATCGTCCCCCCAGCTGCTTCGGCTCGGGCTGATTCGGTGAACCAGCTCGAGTTTGCACCAACGCATTTCGAAGTGACAGCGCTGGCGCGAGCCAAATTGTTTTCGCGACACGTCGTCGCAGACGTCCAGCGATGTCTGACGATGGCTCCGTACTTAAGGGCCCCCCCGTGTTTTTGTGGGCTTGCTGGCCATGCACTCGCACGGCGAATTGGGCATGTCGAATCAGGTGTTCTTGTGATGTTGCTGCTCTTCCTCAGCGTGTGGTACAGGCAGCCCGCAGGAGTGAAAATGAATGGAAGCAATAACCGCCGAAGGCGACCCCAAAGGGGTCTACTAGCATGTGGGCCCAGGGACCGCCTGATGCGGTCGTTCAGATCACGGCAGCTCTCGAAAATGATCTTGATCAGAAGTTCAAGCAGACTCTCAAGGACAAGGGTGGGGTCATTGGCAGTATTGAGTTTGTGTTTAATGATGGGCAGGCTACTTCCATTGATGATGATCGATAATTCTCTCAAGCGCAATCAACTCTACAATATAGTGGATGCGGGTCCCGCTAAGAAGCGTTTGGTGGAACAGTTACGAGATACGTCAAGGGGCACGGAGATCCATTGCTCTAACCGCATACGAATGTTGTGGTTCGCTTCCGGGCGGTCCAGAAGCAGCATTGGAAAGCGCTGGATGCAGTCGAGGTTCAGAAGAAGGTCGCTGCTGAGGCCCAACAAGATTTGCTAGCAGCTAGCAGGTGTCTCGCCTACGTGAGACCGACGCTATTATGGAAAAGCTTCGTCGTGCCATGCCTACTTCTCGTACGCCTATTGGGTCACCAGCGCCTGAGTTGGTGTTCGGACACACTGTTTGGAGACGAATCCTGAGCCCTGGGCTCAACGCATCTGGTGGGGACTCCATATTCGCACATATAAAAGGAAACAAAAAAACACCGACCAGCAGCAGGCGAGGCAGGCGCCCCCACCCGCTGCTGGTTTCGCCCCACATCCTGCACCACTTGCCGGCCCGCATCAGCAAGGGCCAGGAGTACTTGCGGCACCAGTTCATGATGTTCTGACTCGATGGATGAGTTGATTCCCGATGGCGTGGGCAAGCTATTGCGGGCGGCAAATGACAAGCGTGCGTTCAAGAAGCATCTCTCGGACAGGGGCGTCAAGCGTGCTCGAATCGCAGCGCCCCCCACACCTCTTCATGTTCCCATTCCTGCTAGTCCCCCCGCAGCTACAGCACCAGTCCAGCAGCCTGGTAGCAAGGCACTCCCGTGCGGCCTCCCTGTCTCTGCATGTGGATCGGTAGTGCAGCCGCTGGGCGATTGCATTCGGCCCAAGGCAATAATGTTCAACATGATGGTACCTGGTTTACGTTCATCGAGTCCTCCACTGGCAATTGTAGGGATGCGCTCTTGGCCAGGTTGCGCATGAGTATGTATGCGTTGATTTGTCTGTTGGATTTTAGAACAGGTACCGAGGCAGCTCCAGACCTCCAACGCGCAGCACGCACAATTGGTTTCGGAGCGCTGTGCCCCCCGTCGGAAGTCCGCGAACGCGTCGCTCACTCAGCCGCGACTGCAGCTTGTCGTTGCCAGGCTGCCCATAGAAATGCGATAAGGGGCCCATCAGGTTGCGGAATCATCCGCGGGCGATTGATCTCTGTCATCGTCAATATCATCGAATGGCCCCGGCTCGCGGCGCCTCGGCATATACGCGCACAGGCGTCGGCTTCGATCGGGCCATCCTGCGCACAATGCAAGCTGCGGACGCTCACGCTTTGAACGCCACTGGCACCATCGTCGCGGGCGCGGCCTGGGAGGTCGGGCAGGATGCCGGGGGGGGGCGGAGGCGCGCGCCGCGGTAGCCCGGTCGCGATGGCCCCATCTGCGTCGCGCGTATACGACCGCAAGCAGTTCCTCAGCGCTCGATTGTTTCGCGCGCCCTCGCAACATGATCCACCCGGTGAGAGGGTTTGCGCGGTGGCAGATTGCCGCGGCGGCCCTCGCAAGGGAGCTGCGAGGCTCAAGCAGCTGGTCCATCGCACTCACGAATGACTACCTGCGCAGCCACCGACGGGCCCGAGACCGCGCCCGCGACCCCACGGCGCAGCCCGAGCGCAGGCAGATCGAGCCGCGGGGGCGGCGAGCCAGGGGACAGCATCAGCAGCTGGGGAATGACCCAACTGTGCACGATCGGTCGTCCATGAAGACGCCGAGTCGGAGTCGGCAGGCGCCCGGGACCATCCCGCGCCCTGAATCGCGCGCCATCGGCATCTGGCACGGCGGCGGGAGCCCACCCTTGGAAGCATGGAGAGCGCCGAAAACGACATTCAATCAACCGCGTCGAGGTTGGCAATGGCCAAACCGCGCGCTGCACGAGTGCGAGGCCTCAGCGAACGATGGCGAGACGGACCCCGAGAGGAGCCCAGAAGCCCCAAGTCTGAAGCAGCACGCGTGGCCCGGGCGCGCCCCGGCGATGGGGCGCCTGGACTCGGGCGCGCAACATTTGCAGCAATCCCCCATGCCCCAGAGATTGTCACCACATGTCGAACGTTGGCGTTTTCTGCGCTGCCCCCAACCACACTTCCAGCGCGGGCGGCTCGAATGGCGGCGCCCCCGGACGCGCCCCCCGCCGCCCCCGCCGCGGGCGGGCCAGGCGGCTCCTCGCCCGAGCCGCCGTTCATCGCGGGCGGGCCGGGCGGCGCCATTTCCGCGCCCGCCCTCAACGCGGGCGGGTCGAGCGGCGCAGCTGCCGCGTCTAACCCATGCGGGGGAGGGGGGCAACAGGGAGGTCTTGGGATCACTGCCGCCGCGGAGCCGGACAGCACCCCAGGTTCGTCGTCGCCACGCAGGGGGCGCAGCAGCGCGGAAGGAGGCCACCCGAGCGCAGGGCCAAGGCGCTCGGCTGATCTGTGGACCACAGGAGGGCCGGCAGCCTCTGGCCCGAGCACCATGTCGGCGGCGAGTGAAGCCCCCCTTCCCGACAGCGCCGACGCGACGACGGCTTCGACAACGACGCGGCGGGCTCGCGCCTCACGCCTCACGGCGCGGGCGCGACCTCCAGGCGGGGTTTGAGGCGTCACCCGGCAGACCTGGCTGAAGGCCATGTCTTGGGATGGGCGGCGCGACGCGGCCCTCGAGGGGTCGGCCCAGCCGATGAACAACGCCGCGCGGATGCATCTGCAGCGGCGCTCAACGGCGGACGAGACGGCGTTCGGCAGTTTCTTCGGCAGCCCCGGCGATGCGCCACACGCCGCGGCCGAGGTCTTCAGTCCTAGCGGCGCGCATCAGCTACTCCACCAGTTCCTGGGGCATCCGATCGCGAATGCTTCCCACGCGCCACGCTCGGCGAAATTCGAATCGCTTCCAGGAGTTTGTCAGGCCGCACGGCGTCCGCGCTGGGTGGCTTCCATCCGAGGCGCGCTGCCCTGCTCGGCGGCGCTGGCGCGGCCGCCCTTCTGCGACTTGGCGCGCGGCGCGTTCGGCGGCGGACGCCCCCCCCCCATTGGCTAGCCCGCCGGCGGGCGCAGGGCGACCCCGCTGCTGGCGAGCTCCACGCGCGCGTGGAAACAGCTTCGGCGCCCGCGCCTCGATCAGTTATGGCGGCCACATGACTTGAGCGCTGGGCTTCGGCGCCTGCAGGCCCTTTTGAATTGCGCTCGCGGGCGCAGTCTGCGGCCCCGGAGGCCGCTGCCTCCCAGGGCCAGGCTTCTTGCGGGAGCCAATGGGGCGGCAAGAAAAACTACGAGTCGCTTGGTGCGGAAATATGGGGGGCGCGGGCATGCCAGCGGGGCGCCCAAGGCATGCTTGCCACAGGAACATGTCCAATTTTCGGCGGCGCCCCCCCCAGGTCTGGCCAGGCTCGGCTCGGCCCCGCAGCGGCGCCGCTCGCGTCGTTTGTCAACGCAGAGGGCCCCCGCCGGCGTCCGTGACTCATGCGCCCCCAAACTTCGGCGCAGATTTTGCCCCAGCGCAGGTTCGGCCAGCTGGCAACAGCTTCCACGTGCTCGAGCCCAGCACACTCGGAGATGGCGAAGTCACGGTAAGCAGCGCACGGGCATCATACACTCGACCGGATTGAGGCTTGCCGTTGATCATGATAACGCATTTATTGGAGCGTCGGGTCATAAGCCCCGACGACCTCGCATTGCTTCGCTCAGTTTGGGGCATCCGTTCCACGGGGGGAATCGTCGATTGCAGAGCGCATTTTCTACGGCGTCCCGATGGCAGAATAGCGACTGGTCCTGTCCCTCGAGTGACTGGCGCTGTCGGGCAAGCTGCGGTTCACCCAGGCGTGACACGGCTGATGCGATTTACCAGATTGGCAGACTTCGAGATTTTCGAGGGGCCCAAAATCGAGAATGGCGCTATGCATTTTGAAGATTGCTTGGGAAACAGTGGACGCGACGGAGTGGGTTGACGACCGCGGAGTGGAGGGGGCATATCACATGTTGGAAGTATTGCATATGTAAATATAAACATGTGTCTCTTTTGGCATGGCCTGGGTAATGTTGCCTGAACGTGCGCAAAGCAAACATGAACGTGATATGAGCGCGCTTGTGAAAGGCGTGAGCGGGCAGCGCGTGCGCTCTGATCTTGCGCGCAATGCAATGGTGTCTTGTTCCGCAATGGCAGTAGCCAGTAGCGATCGATTGCAGAAGGCAGGCTCGTCGAGTTTGAAGCACTTTGCCCGATTTGCGGAGCGCGCGATGGCCTCCACCACCGCTTCTGGAGGTGTCAGCGCGATGCGATTGAGGCTAGACTATAAGTAGCTGCGAAACTAGAGATTGTACGCGGGGCGGTCGAGGCATGCGCGGGGCCGCCCTTTACCCACCCCACCCCACCCCACCCCGCCCCACCCCACCCCATCCTTACTTCCTATGATTAAACACCCCCGCATCCCCACCTAGCCGGCCGATAGCAACCCCGCCGTCCGAATTGTGAAAAACAACACCAACTCCATTCTTTTCTCGCCAACATGTCGTCGAGTTGCGAAAAGCACAGCAGGAATTTGACGAAACGAACACCGCTTGGGTAACCCTAAGCGGCGTCCCACAGAAGAAAATGATACAAAGTCCAGGTTTTTTCGTCAAGATGGACTTTCTGGTCGTCGGCGCTGCGAAAAGTGCAACAGGAATGGGACGCGGCGCACATCGCGCGCGGACGCCTGGCCAACCCTACGCAGGACCCCCCGTCCTACCTGCCAACAAGCACCGCAACTTCGATATTTGTTTGCCAACATGTATTTTCGCCTCGTCGGCGCTGCGAATCGCGTAGCCGGACTGGGACGCGGCGCACATCGCGCGGGGACGCCTGCTCGTCAACATGGATTTTCCTGTTGTCGACGCTGCGGCCCGTCGGGTTGAGGAGCTGGCTGGGCGGCAAGTCATCATGCCTCAAGTAAGTGCGGTTCAAGCAAGTGCCTCAGGAGACCCCAAACAAGTCGAAAAAAGGCGCCCAGGAGGTCCCAGGGGGGCAACACAAATTTTGATTTTCACTTGGTGTTTGAAGGATTGCGAGGTCAGCACCTACTTGTATAGACAATGTCCCAGCCCGGAAGATAGATCCAAGAGGCCCTCAGGCGCATGCCAGAAAGCCGCCAGGACGCCCCGCGAATTCCCAAGAGGAATTACCCTCTTCTTCCTCAGTTTCTCCCTCCCTCCCTCTCTCCCTCCCCTCCTCCTCTTTCTCCCCCCCCTCCTCCACGCGCGGCAGGAGCGAAACGATTGGCGGTGCAACGCGCGTGGCTGGAAAGAGACGCGGCGCACCCCGCGCGTTGGACATGTTGTCGCGGACGATGCAGCATGACAGGCCGGAGCGGGGCGCGGCGTACATCGCGCGCGGTCTTGTTTCTCGTCGACGTTGCTCAACGCGCGGCAGGAATAGGACGCAGCTCATGTCGCGCACTGAACATCTAGCCTCCCACAATATAAGATAAGCGACAGGCATCGGACGCGACGCACTCGCTTCTTATATTCGGGGAGGGCGGGCGGGAGTGGACGGAGCCGTCTGGCTCGTTCGAGCTGGCTAACTTGACCCCACCCCCACCCCCACCACCCCACCGATGTGCTGTACCAACACGCGCATGACCTTGTGACCTTGCGGGACCGGCCCCCGCGATGACTCGGTTTTCGAAGGCGTGGGTGAGGTTGTCGTGGACGGGCCTTGCATTCGGTCGTCGATTTGCGAGTTGTCGTGCCTTCTTCACCCACCCACCCGGAAGGCCCAGGGCCCCGAAGCGCAGACGTGCAGGAGCGGCGCGATGGCATGCGTGGACCGTTGTGCCAGGCGCCCCAGGGACTCCCGTTGCCGCCTCGGCCGAACGCATCGTTGGTTGCACCTGCTGTCGAAACGTGCTCACAAGGTGTTACGCTCCACGTGTCAAGCGCGTTGGAGCGAGAGAGATTGCTTACTGCTTAGCGACCTCGCCAGCGCCCGGTCCTCCTGCAGGCACCTCGGACGGGGGGCCCGAGGAGCGCCGTGCCACCACGTCTCGAGGCCTTTCGCGGTCGGGCGGCCGCGCGCGAGGAGGACCTTCGCCCTCCCCTCGCCCTCAATTCTCCTCCGCCATACGATGTTCAAATGTGCCACGTATCACATGTCATCCCTTTTTCCCGCCCACTCCTCCATCCCATGTTCCTTCCAGGCTAATAACGTGTCTCCTCTCCCCCGTCCCCGTCCGTCTCGTCTCGCCGGATGGGTAAACTCTCTGCAGTATCCTGAGTCTACGATTTGGTATGGCCATGCTCGATGTCAGTGTACAGTTGCCCCCGCCCCGTTTCGGTTCCCTCTTCGCTGCGGGCGGAGGCAGCGCGAGAAACCAGCGAGGATGGACTTGGGGAGCATTTTTGGGGGGGCGGTTTTGGCACCGATAGTTCTCTTAGGTGAGGAGCCCTTTCCCCCCTTCATTTCCTTCCCCCTCCCCTTTTTCATCCTCCCCCCCTTGACTCAAATCCCCGTCCTGCCCCCTCCACGGGCAACCGCGGTCGGCCGGCAGGGTCAGCACAGAAGACGCCATCGAGCGGTGCGTGGCCACGTCGCAGACGCCGCCGAATGATGCCGTGGCCACGGCGCTGAGCACGCTGAAGCAAATGGCGGCGGCCCATGATCTGCCCGACGAGGAGGTAGCGGTGTTGCGGGCCCAGATCCTGGCGTGCACGCCTTCCTCGTCCTCCGCCCAGCAGGCGGCGGTGGGCAGTCCTGGCGTCGAGGGCATCGTGCGGGCTACCGCGCCAGTCCAACTGCTGGCCAGCACGCGGCGCATTACGGAGTTCTCAACGGCGGGAGTGCCAACCAAGGAGGACCGCGTGGTGTACGCTTGCGGTTCCTTTGACATGTTCCACGTGGGCCACGCTCAGTTTTTGAAGGACGCCAGGGCGTTGGGCACGTTCCTCCTGGTCGGCATATACGACGACTCCACTGTGAGGGATGCGAAGGGTGCGTTTTGCCCCGTGATGAACCTCAACGAGCGCGTGCTGAATGTTTGCGCGTGCAAGTGGGTTGACGAGGTCATCATCGGTGCGCCGAGGAACGTGACCGAGGATCTGATGAAAACTTGGGACATCCACGTCGTGGCCAGAGGCAAGGGCCACCTACGCAACGGCCCAGACGCCTCGAAAACCACCGGGCATTACGCGGTCCCGCAGCAAATTGGGGCTTACACGGAGGTGCCGTCCGCGTGGCCAGAGTTGTGCCACGACACTGTGGTACGGCGGATTGTCGAGAGCAGGGAGCAGTACCTCAGGCGCAACAGGGACAGGGCGCAGAGGGAGGACAAGTATTACGCCGCCAAGGACAAATCCACGTCCCCAATGGAGGCCTGAGTGGAACTCGGCCGCAGAGCATCGAACCGCTCGTGCTACCTTCATTGTATCTTTGCTTCTCGAGGCAAGCTTCCGAGTAGGAGCAGGAGGAGGAAGAGAGGAGACGCACACGGCGCATATATCTATGCCGGGCTCTCCTATCCCACATTACCGCCTTCTGGAGGCCCAGCTAAGGGCTGCGCAGCGAAGAAGCCTCGGCTCGTTGTTCCTGGTTTGATACAGTGGAGACCCATGCCAAGAAACAGCCTGCTCGCCTCTGGGGTGCCCTGGGTTTCTTGGGCTTCGATGGTTTTGCGATGGAAGGCGTGACGTTCCAGCACCGAAAACAATGGACGTCCTGGGGTCTCAGGGTTGGGTTTCTTGTGGAAGGTTTCTTGTGGACTGACCTCCACTGCACGTGGCGGCGCCCCCAGCGCGGGCCTTCAAGGCTGAAGGTCGCCTGTGGCCCAGAATCGGCCCTCATCTTGCGACCTGCGCTAGCGGAAAGCCGCGCGACCGTTCAAGGTTGAACGAGCCACGCAGTGTCAGAAACTCGCGCTGACTTTATCCCGACGTGATCCCGCCGTAGCACGTGAGCACCCAGATTATACTAAGGACGTTCCACAGGCCGAGAAGCGTCGCACGGTCCGCGCGCGCCAGGGCCTGGGATTTCCCTTGTCGGAGCACGCCGCCGAGATCTTATTTGGAAGCTCGTCTCGGGGGAGTCGGCGGCGCGCCCAGGGGGTAAAAGGCAGAGGGGGCGGGCTTTCTCAGAGGGCCCACGCTGACTTTCAGAAGGCCTACCCACTCTTCACTTCCCCCTCGGCGCGCCGCCGTGGGAGGCCGTCCGCCGCCGCTGCCGCCGCCGTTGGCCAAGGGGCTGCCGCCGCGGACGATGCCTCGCAGCTCTGCCGGCTGCGCCGAGCACATCCCTGCGCGCGCACCAGTTTGTGAGCGGGCGGGAGAAGAAGCGCGGCGCAGCGTCTGTATGCGCATCGTATCAGGTTACAGCTGGACCCTCAGGTCGTATCCGTCCAGAAAGCTAGGCATGCAGTATCGGTTCTTTTTGGGGGGGGGCCGCCGCACGGTCGGGGACCACGAGAAAGAGGACGACGAGGGTCAGGATGCGGAGGGCGAGGGTGAGTTGGAGGACGGGAAGGGGGAGGAGCAGGTGGCTATTTTCTTAGATGTTGTGTTATCGAAGACACCTACGGCGAACCATCGCCGCCGTCTGCCTTCTTTTGGAACGCTCCATGCGACCAAACAATGGGCTAAAATCTCGCTAATCTATTGGACGATGTGTTCCCCCAACCGTTGTGGATCCTTGGGGGAACACTTGGGAGAGGAAGAGAAAGAAGGACCTACTCCTCGGATCCCCTCGGGGATCAAACATGGCCTCCCGGAGTCACATGCTGGCGCGTAGTTTCCTCGCATCGGGGCCGTGGCGATGCCGCTCCTGTATGCATTCCACTTGGGGGGCCCGACCACTTGAGTCACGAGGAATGCAGAATACGCATATCATCCACCAACGCCCCGAGCCCGGCCCTGGTACCAGAAGGTTAGCCCTCGCAACTTTCACAAGCACCAACGTATAGGGTGCAAGGCTCTCCTCCTCTCTTCCTCCTCTTCCTCCTCCTCGTCCTCCTCCTCTTCCTCTCTTCAATCCTCCTCTCTTCCTCCTCTTCCTCTTCCTCTTCCTCCCTCCCCCCTCCTTTGGCGGCGCTTAGCTGGCAATGATGCAGCTTCGTTCAAAAGCATTGTCGCGTTTCGCGTTCCACCTCCGCAGGGTATTCTGACGGCGCATCATTAATTCCGACCAAATTGCATGGCAAAAAGTATAAGGAAATCGGTAGTGGGGCATATTGCGAGCCAGGTGGCCGCACACGGGCCCACGCAAGATCACAATTGTACCGTCCCCGCTGGGCCCCTCCCCGAATAATACTCGGAAGAGCCGTGTAAAAAGACTTGTCCTCCAACCTGTAGGAAGCATTGCCATCCATCGGTCCAGCCGCCAGGTTCCATGGTTCGGTTCGGTAATCCTGGCGCCCGTCCACTTGCAATCAAAGGGAAGATTACGCCAACTGACAGTGTTGCGAAGCCGTTCCGATGTTTTAGCAGTTGCTGAAATCGTTGGATGGTAATGGAATCCGCGAGGTGCAGCGCAGCAAGCAACCACAGCTTCCCCACTGACACACTGCGCGCGAACGGCGGCGCAATGAATGTGAGGTGAAATTGTGAAACCGCGCGCCAAGCAGGCCTAAAAGAGGAGGAGGAGGAGGAGGGGGAGGAGGAGGAAGGGGAGGGTGAGGGGGAAGAGGAGGAGGAGAAGGAGCAGGAGGACCAGTGCAAGCCCAGGACGAATTAGAGATGTTACCATAAACCATCTCCCCACGTGCCCCCTCATAGTCCCTACAAGAATGTACGTTCACCGCGGGAAGTGTCCCGCCGGAAGACAAGTGTCTGAGAATCTTCAATCGTGCAAAACACGATTTTGGGGATATTCAACGCCGCGAATCAACGTGACTGTTGCTTCCTGACAATCCTTAACGAATCGTTCCAGAGCACCAGCCCTGTGACTTCAACACCGCAAATCCAAGCCAGTGTTGGACGAACGTAGAGGCAAAATAGAGGGGGGGGGGGGGCAATGGGCCAATTCTCTATGGATTGAGCTGGGAGTATTACAAGCAAGCTTATTTGGAGGAAGTCCTGAATGCACCAGTTGTGTGATCGTCGCTCGCAATCGCAGCAAGTACAATTTGTTCGGGCGTCTCTGTTGGTAAAAAGTTGATACAGCGTGGAACGCCAAATAATACGGGAGAGAAACGCGCATGTGTATTGCACAGAAGGAGGTGTTGCAAAAGTGTGAGAAACTGTGCCTGTTATTATCCCTGCGATGGTCCAAAGTAAGTAATGTACGAGTACGTGCCGAAAGGCGCTCCCAAGATACATATCCCTCGTTTTCGACGTATTTCGTCATTTACCCAAGCGTTTCGCACCCCCCCCACAAACTTGGCAGGACCAGCATCCGTGCTCCATGCCACTAGTATTCCGATATCCACATCTACGCGGCACGCTTCCACTAACGAGGTCCATGTGTTGCCGTACATGTTGGCAACGTCGATTTGTTTGCACATGACATAGATATCGTTCAAGTAGGCTGTTGCCAGCTACTGCGAATTTGCCGTCGTGTAGGTTCGAATGTAATACAGAAAAGCAGGCATCAACGTATCCTTTGGTTCTCCTCCATCGCCCGGAAATATCTCATGCGTATCGTCGTTGCCGTCACTCTTGTGGAAACGGGATTGGACAACGTGGCATTGGCGGACTAATTGCAGTAGTCATTGCAAAGATGCATTTGTCAGCAGCCCTTCAAAAGTTTGCGTCCTGCAGATACGGCAGTATACACCAGCCCGTCGACGCTTTGAACCATTTTGTTTGGGTCGGTTTCCGGTGCTCATTGTAGCAAATGAATGCATGGCCGCACTCGTCCGGCATCTACCATGGGTTCCAAGGTTATTCCGCCAAATTGTTGTTATGGGTTCTGGTTGGAATTGCCTTGCACGCGTTGTCGCCACAAGCCAGCGATAGATGTCGCCACGCGAGACGCCCCAAATTCGAAAATTGACATTAATACGGCGGGATCCGATGATATGAGCACCGCGTCCCTGGTGACATCGAGGATTTGTGTTTTAGCATTTTTGCGCACCGCTTCTTACAAAGTTTCGAACCACTTCATCCTCGAGACATGTTATTACTTGTTAGCACCGGCTGCCCTACAATTCCACACCCAAGTTTCTCTCGATTTGCCGTGGCAACATACAAGTAAAAACAGTAGTTCAGCCCACTCGCGTCATGCGGACTGAATGTATCCAGGATTTGCGTGGGGAGTCAGCACCAAAGGTTTCAAAGAAGATGCAAGATCAGTCGAGCCATACGCCGGAGCGCGTGGGCAAAAGGCGAGACAATGCGCCTGTTCTCTCCGCTTTGCGGGAGCGGCGGCGTGCCAACACAATTATCAATTCACATCGTTTGCTTCTGGCCGGGGAGGGGCGCGAGGAAGAGAGGGAGAGGGAGGCGGAGGAAGGGCAGGAGGAGGGAGGGAGACGAAATCAAATACAAACTTGTGCCAAGCGATTGGCTCGCTAACGCATTGCATTACAGCGTCCTCAGAGGAAAAATGCGGCACGATAGCGTCATGACACTTCGCCCATTCATGTCTTGGCCTGCCTACAGCTCTGGCGCATGCGTCGGTGGCTGGTCGGACACAGCTAGGTTGAAAAGTAAGGCGGCGCAAACCATAAAAGTTGATGTTTCAAAAGCTGTGTCGTATAAGATTGTTGCCCGGCTCTCGACAGCACATCTTGATTAGAAATTCGTGATATGTACCCGTGGGGTATGTGCAATATGCGACGCGAGCACTTCGCTTGAAAGCCATCTAACATTCTACGCTCGGCTTTGTTAAGCCATGCCGAACTCAATGAGTACATGACCTTACTGGTCAAAAGGGCCTGAAAAACTTGGATCTTCCTAGCTGTGCTAATGGCTGTGTGCATTCCAAGCACGGCTGTGTCGACAAAACTCGCCCCAAGCAGCACCTAATCTCTTTCCCAATTCTCCGCGAAGCTGGCCAGTGGTCGAAAACGTAGCTCCCAAATATGTCACAGAATATTTAGCTATAATTGGTGTCCCAGACGGCGTACGAGATGTAAGATGAGCCCACAAATGTGTCATAAGATGCAAGATGAGTCCGCAAATTCATTGTAAGTCCTTGGCGCAAGTCATCGCCGTACGACTGACACACTTACAATCACGGACTCTTATTTTGTATGTGCCGTGCGGCAACGGTTGGGGATTGTGAGCGTGGTCGATGGCCCGGACGTGCATGGGCATAGGCGGTTGGCGGATGCAGTAAGGGGAGGATGGCAAAGTCGACATATTGAATTCATGGCTGCTTGGAGGTAGGTCTTCCGCGAAGCGGGGGGGTAAATTCCAGACCGTAACA